GATATAGCATAGCCCTGCATAACCACCAAAAAATCCGTATATAAACTCGATAGCCCTATGCAATTCCTACAAAACCCTAAATAGCAAAAGCCAAACCCTAAACCAAAAAGCCTAGACCCTAAACACGGAAATCCTAAGCCCCCAAACCCAAACCCCTAAACCCCTGAACCCTAAGCCTCTAAAGAACTAAACCACTAAACAATACAAACCCTAAACCCTAAGTCCCTGCAACCCTAAACTCTAAGCCCGCCCCAAACCCTGAACCATGAATCCCAAAACACTAAAGTCCCTAATCCCTAGGCCCCGAAACCCCAAACCCTAAGCCCATAAAGCCCTGAAACCCCTAAACCCTAAGTCCCTAAGTCCCTAAGTCCCTAAGTCCCTAAATCCCTAAACCCTAAACCCTAAACCCTAAACCCTAAATTCCCTAAACCTGTCCCTAAGTGCAGGCTGCCTTGGGGCTGTGCGGGCCGAGCCCTCGCAGCTCCTCGCCTGGGCGCAGGCGGGGTCCTTGGCATCCTGGGACCTTCGTCCCCCTTACAAGTAGAGGGTTTAGGGTTTAGGGTTTTAGGGTTTAGGGTTTAGGGTTTAGGATTTAGGGTTTCGGTCATCCCCCCGTAGAGATAGAGGGGAATTTAGGAACTATGGGACCCCCTACCTTGGGTTTGGGGGTTTGGGGTTTACTAGGTCATGCCCCTTTGCAGTAACTAGGATTCCAGGGGGGCTTATGTAGGGATTGTAAGGGGTTGTATAGGGTTCTATAGGAATTATGTAGGGGTTATGTAAGGTCGTATAGAGATTGTTAAGGTCGTTTCCCCTTACAGCAACAGTTACTGCTACAATGGGTAATGGGAGTAATCATGGCCCCTTAAGAAGATCATTGTAAGGACAGTGATTTTGAAGGGGAACGGGAATGACCCAGCTGACACCACCCCCCCACCTTCCAACAAGGGCTATTTGAGGCTGGTCTAGGGCTTTCTGATTGTTAGCCATGAACAGGGTAGATTATGGAAACCCCCGTCTTAAATGGCAAACTCCCCGGGCCTCTGACGGTAGGTATTTCCATGGATCTCCATATAGAAGTGACGGGAAATTGTACCATTTTGGGAATATCTATTAAAAAGTTTCCAGTCTTTCCTGCTGCGTTTCAACTGTCACGTCCTGACTTCCAAGAAAAGGTGTCGTCATGGTTTCAGCTTGAAACTTACGATTCTTGAAGCAAGTGGCAAGGGCAGCGTGGCTGTTGGGATGTGACATGACGGAAGGATCGAGTGCTGCACAGATTCGGATTTCTGCTACTACCATTATTCTTGTTATTACCATCTACTATTATTAGTCTTTGTCTTACTATTAATATTATTCCTATTCGTATTGCTACTATTATTCCCCAAGTGCTGCTGGCCGGCTGGACAGGCGCAGGATGCCTCCAACGGTTTTTCTTTCGACGGCAAGGTGGTCTCAGTCAGCCACTTGCCTACAGCTTCTGCTTGTTGGGTTACTATAAAAAAGAAACTTTACGATCTACTATATACACATAATATGGTAACTTGAAACTTACATTCCTTAACAGCAACCCAGTCTTCTCCTTTTTGGGTCTCTGTGATTCATGCTCTACAGTTAGAAGTACGGGTCCCGAATATGAGCCCTCAGGCCTTGCAGGGGGTTTCTAGGGACCCTTGAGGGTACGTATAGGGTATACAGTAGGTATAGAAGGATTTCAGGGTTAAGGGCCCATACTACGGGCCCAGGGTTTCAACCTTAGACATGCCGCAAACCAGGTGGTGCTTGCGGGCGTGTGCAACATGAAGCTGGGAGAGCCTCGACCGCAACTGCAGGAAGGACTTGTGTCGTATCCTGTTTTTCCATTGAAAACACCACATGCCTCGTCTGGTATTGGTCCATCTCCTTCTGATCCAGGTTCCAATGCATGTATGCTTTTCCCAATGGACCGCGCCCAATAAGCCCCAAACTTCGCTGCTGAAGGGCACCCGCTCGGTGAGGCCTGCTGTCGGGGGCCGCAATCGACAAGGTCCCGCTGAAGGACATCTTCCAAGTCCTGGCACAGTCCAGCTGCTGCTTGGTGTCCAGATAAGGTTGCCTACTCGTGTTGTCAGTAGGGAATAAAGGAATGTACTATATAGGAATTATACAGGGATTGCATTCCCTGAATCCCTATTAACCCAGCTAAGATTAGTTGAAGGTGGTGATCTCTTTGGTTAGTTTTTCTCTGCCCAGCTTGGTGGGTGCGCGGTTCCAGTTCCTGGCGACATGGACAAGTGCTATGTAGGAATGTATGTGCGGGGAGTCGCATTGGTCTATTCTACTGAGTATATCCAAGTACATGGTTAACAGGCCTTATGATCAGCAGAAAGTCGTTCTTCTCATCATAGTAGCCACCCACAGATTGCTTCCCACTTTCAGGCTGAATTCGTTGCACGTAGGTTTCTCAGTATTGCTTTGGAAGCTGTCGTTGCATTTGGCTTACTGGTGGGTAGTAAGGAATAGGGGAATTTAATCCCTAGATAATCCCTATCTCATATAGTTCCTTAGTCCCCATAACCCTACAGTAAACCTTAAATCCTAAACCTTAAATCCCCAAGTTAAGTTTCTCAGTATTGCTGTGGTTAGCATCCGGACCCGAGGCAAATATCTCCGCGACATTGCTGGGCTGCCTCTGCAAGGCTCACGTGTGACTGATGCTGCCGAGGCTTGGGCAGGTTTGGGTTTAGGGTTTAGGGTCGCTGTAATGGGGGCTATAGGGTTTGTGTAGTGATATATAGGGTTTAGGCATATATAGGGTCTAGGGTTCAGGATTTACGGTAGGGCGTGCAAGGCTGCAGGGTCCGGGGCGAGAGGCATGTAGCAAAATCAGATACAGTGCAGATCAAAATGCTCCCTTAAGATGATAGTGCAGTGCTAGCACCAGGGTATTCAGAATGATAGCAAGAACAGTAAAAGCATGAGACGGTTGATGCTAAACATCCTGCACGAATTGACCTTGCTATACCAAAACCAACCTCTTTCCCCTCTCTTCGATCCCACTAGCTCCCCATGAGCAGTAGTTCTCCGTAAGATCTACTGCCGAATGCTTTCAAATCATCATGTTGCTGAATTCAGTCTGAACATCACGTAAGCGGCTTATAGTCCCACATGAAAGCAACTGAGGCGCAAAGGATCCGCTGCCAAACATCTGGTATAGGATTTAGGGTTTGGGGTAAGGGACGGACAAGAAAATGGAAACCTGTTGTATAGGGACTACTTTGAGGATTAATCCTTCATTCCTTGCTAGCCAGAGGCAAGTCATTTGAGTTTTCATTCTTGGGTCAATATCCCTAAGCCTCAAACCTTAAACCCTAACTCCTAAAGCCCAGTATGTCCCTACATACCCTTTTATACCCTGTTATACCCCTATATATACAAATTATACCCTTATGTACCGTAATATGTTTCTATGTAGTTTATATTCCCCTACATGTGCCTATTAAGTCCCTGTAGAACCCCTCTATAATGGATGTATAAAACTGAGCTTGCATTCATTTTCCACCTTTTCATGTTCCACTTGCATTTCCATGTGACTTTCCATTATCTCTGATGCCCTATATAATCCCTAAAACTTCAGTTCTGGACCCTAAATGCCATTATGCCCCTACATCCTTTTTTGTCCTTATATATTCTTACATATCCCTTTTATCCCCTCTCTACCCCCCTACATCCCTATATAGCCTTTATATACCCACTGCATCCCTAAACCCTAAGCCCTAAACTCAAAACCCTAAACCCGAAATCCTAAACCCTAAATCTTACACAGGCAGCAGATGAAGTCTTGAGCTACCTGGAGCCCCAGCAGGGGTTGAAGACCTGGCTGATCTGCGGCTTCAAATTTGGGTTTAGGATTTAGGGTTTAGGGGGTTTAGGGGTTTAAGGCTGAAGGTTTAGGGTTTA